TTTTTTTTTTTTTTTTTTTTTTTTTTTTTTTTTTTTTTTTTTTTTTTGGATATAACATTTATTGAAATTTTTAAAAAAAATTATATAATTTCTAATAATTTGGTATTTAAAAAGTCTTTACAATGATCTTGGTGTAGAGTCAAAATTCAGGCTTTCATTGATGGCCCAATCTACAGTTAAAGTGGGCAGGAAGCCCAATTACTTTAGTAAGCCCAAGTTTTAGCGGCGTAAGTTAGCATCGGTCTCCTTCAGCCGGAGTTGTGCGCGGTCAGACACAAGAGCTTTACCTTCCGCTCTCATTTTTACTCAAAAATAGAAAACCAAAATTTCCTTCACATTCACTTTCTCAGTCCTTCCCTTTCCCTCTCTTTCTTCCTCCCGTTTAAAAAGGCTTCCGCGCCACACTCAGATTCTCATTTTTCCACTTTCCTTTGCTGTCCTTCCCTTTCTACTGCTTAGCCCTAGTTCCCGGAGGAATATGCCGCGAGAGATCATCACTCTGCAAGTTGGACAATGTGGGAACCAGATCGGAATGGAGTTCTGGAAGCAGCTCTGCCTCGAGCATGGAATCAGCAAAGACGGAATTCTTGAAGATTTTGCTACTCAGGTCCCTGCTTTGCTTCTCTTCTTCATATATTGTCGTATTTTTCTTTCAATTAGTTTATGTGTAATTTATTATGCACGTGGATGTCTGTACGAGTGTCAGTGTGCTTGGTTGCTGGGAAAATTGGGGGAGAGATGAGGAAATGGACAGTGTAGGCTGTTTGATAATATATAAACATGTTACCGCACTTTTTGAATTTGTTCGTTCAAATACTTTAGGAGATAAGTGGGGGATGGCCTAATAAGGGTTTTAACAAGCGAGATACATGGTGATTGGGGGATTCATGTGCAATTTCCTCCGGTTTGGACTATGCTGGCTTATTTTGAGTGATTTGGGGAAATGAGCTTACGCGAAGGGGTTGTTGATAGCACTTGGTCACTAGGGCGTCGGTGAAAGAGATGTGTCTAGTTTCTGGCGCATCGAATGTTGCAACTTTCATAACTTTGGATCAGATTCCTGGTTTTCGTTTTAGTTCTGCTATATAGCTTTCAACATGAATGGTTTTGCTCCAGTTTTACTTGCACCTCAGAGTTCGCTTAAAATGTTTTTTTCCAGTAATATGTGCTCTCGATTTAAACAGTTTCCAGCTCTTATCATATCGCAGAGGGTTTATGAATTACGTATATCAGTAGTGACTGGGTGACAGTGAACTGAGCCTCCCATTTGATCTCAGTGGAAGGATGTAAACATATTTTATGATATGCAGGGAGGTGACCGGAAAGATGTATTCTTCTATCAAGCTGATGATCAGCACTACATACCAAGAGCTTTACTTATTGATCTGGAGCCCAGGGTCATCAATGGTATTCAAAATAGTGAATATCGTAATCTCTACAACCATGAGAACATCTTTGTTTCAGATCATGGAGGTGGTGCTGGAAATATCTGGGCTAGTGGATATGATCAGGTTTTCTTTTTTCCTATATATTTTTCTTTTTACTTTCAAAATTCTCATTAGAGAAACACACTGATATTCCTTCTATGATCTAAAATTTGTTCATAACAAAGTTAGCATGCCATGCTTAGAATTCTATGCTATCCATGTGGCATCTTACTGACATTGATTTGAAGACACTATCAGGGAAAGGGCGTTGAAGAGGATATCATGGATATGATTGACAGAGAAGCAGATGGAAGTGATAGCCTTGAGGGTTTTGTTCTATGCCACTCAATTGCTGGAGGCACAGGATCGGGTATCTTCTGCTCTTCCTACTAACCTTTCCCAATTTTCTTTTTATTAGTTTCATTTCTATACTGGGAAATTGATAATGGGAAGGCATTGCAGTAAGGTAAGATCTAGTCATATTTTTGTACTATGTGTTCGCATGTATTTTTTAAGTTAAGAAACTGTCCAAGTTGATTCAGGATTTGAAGCAAAGAAGAATCCTAATTTTGGTTTCTGTCAGTTATTGATTCTTTAGAATTTAGATGATTGACGGTGACTGATTTGCAGATAAATTTGAAGGAAAAAAAAAAAAAAAAAAAAAAGGAAGAGAAAAAGAAGAAAAGAAAAGAGGAGGTCTAGTTCTCAATTTTAGGGGGTCTAATTATTTCATGTACAAGTCCAAAGTTGTATGAATATGTGATCGAGTTTTATCACTTGATATAATGCAGGCATGGGTTCATATCTCCTGGAGACTCTGAATGATCGCTACAGCAAAAAACTGGTTCAGACGTACAGTGTTTTTCCTAATCAGATGGAAACAAGTGATGTTGTGGTCCAGCCTTACAACTCACTTTTGACTTTAAAGCGACTGACACTCAATGCTGATTGTGTTGTTGTTCTTGATAATACTGCCCTAAATAGAATAGCTGTAGAACGCCTTCATCTATCAAATCCAACCTTTGCACAAACAAACTCTTTAGTGTCTACAGTAATGTCAGCTAGCACAACCACTTTGAGATACCCAGGATATATGAACAATGATTTGGTTGGACTCCTGGCCTCTCTAATTCCAACACCAAGATGCCATTTTCTAATGACAGGATACACACCACTCACTGTTGAGCGCCAGGTATTTTTCTTTGTGCTTTTAAGTTACGTATAGTATACAGTTTTATCTTAACTAAACTTCTTTGAGCATCATCAGTGGTTTTGTTGAATGCTTTTACTTGGTTAAAGTTGGGTTTTCTTTGCACAGAATTGTGACACATCTTGTATTGTCTCATTGTTGTATATGTCAAATTTTTGTGTAACAACTTTTATTTCTGACGATTTATCATTTGGCATAATTTACCCGTAAGAAAGTTTCTAGCAGTGGATAATCAAAGTTGTGCATCTTCCTTGCAGGCTAATGTGATAAGGAAAACCACTGTCCTTGATGTCATGAGAAGACTTCTGCAGGCAAGAGTTTTTGGTTGATTTTATTTTTAAGTAAAAAACCAATTTGTGCCTTTCATCTGACATTATGACATTATGCCCGTTTACAGACAAAAAATATTATGGTCTCCTCATATGCTCGAACAAAAGAAGCTAGTCAAGCGAAATACATATCCATATTGAATATCATACAGGGAGAAGTGGACCCTACACAGGTACTGATGATTAAAACGCCTGAAAAAAGAAAAGGAATAACAATTGGTTTACTGCAAGTTTGCGATGGATGCATTTTGATGTTTCCATTATGCTACAGGTTCATGAAAGTTTGCAGAGAATACGTGAAAGAAAGCTTGTGAATTTTATTGAGTGGGGCCCTGCCAGCATTCAGGTTTCTTTCAACTGTAAAATCAACCTATTTTCATATTCCAGTTTTCGCATTTAACTTTCTTCGTAGATTCATAAGAACATATATGCTGGATTGTTTTAGGTTGCACTCTCACGGAAATCACCATATGTTCAAACTGCCCATAGGGTAAAATTCTTCTGATCCCTTTCTAACCTCCTCTCAGTCTGCCATTAATTTAATATCTTGGCGCTTTTCTTTATTGCTCAATTTCAATCTCATGTCATCTGTTTCATTTCTAAATGCTTACTAGATGAAATAATTATCAGGTCAGTGGTCTTATGTTAGCTAGCCATACCAGCATCCGGCACCTTTTCAGCAAGTGTTTGAGCCAGTATGAGAAGCTGAGAAAGAAGCAAGCCTTTCTTGACAACTATCGGAAATTCCCAATGTTTGCTGTAAGATTTCCGTTCTAATATTTTCTGCTCCAATTGAAGATTTATTTGTTTATTCATTGGCCCTATCTAGTCTAACATATCGTGTCAGGAATAAATGTTGTCACGAACTTTTGTTAATCATGTACTAGTTAAGACAAGCCGTGTTGTACAGAGCATAATTAGTGTAGTGTATTTGTTCCTTCCTCATGAATTGTTCAATTGGTCAAAGTCTCAAATCGAAGTGAACAATTACAATTGGTCAGGACAATGATCTCTCCGAGTTTGATGAATCAAGGGATATAATTGAGAGTTTGGTTGATGAATATAAGGCTTGCGAGTCTCCAGATTATATCAAATGGGGAATGGAGGTCAGTACCCGTATATCTTTGAATTGCATTTCCTACACAGTGTAAGACCTCACTTATATGTGCTTTTATGAAGCAGGATCCCGACCAGTTTCTTACAGGAGAAGGAAATGCATCCGGGACAGCAGACCCAAGTTTGGCCGTCTGACAAGGCAAATAAGGTGAGATGTAGTTTATTTTTGTTGCAACAGAGGATTCTTATCTTCTAATTTAGTTCCATGCGTATTAACCTTAGTGGTCTGATATGATTATTGGCATCCTCAAGCATTATCTGGACTGCAAAATATTTTTTTATAATACTTTGGGGCAAATTTATAAGGTGACAAAATGCTAGCTGGTCTTCTAGAACTTAAACAAATGGAAGAAAATCTGCTTTAAATTCCATATGGGAATCCGCTTCCTTCCAATCCCTATGCCCTAATAAACCTACACTTGCACATTATATGTACACATACACGCACACACAAAAAGACAAATAATTTTAGTTTTTGTAGTATGCTGTCGCTTAAATGTTCACCTTGGTGACAAGCCCGTTTATTTGTGAGAGCTTTTCTTTATACTCCGCTAGATGATTGACTGCTTGAATTTCCTGATTGCAGGTCATGTTAATGGAGGTTGTAACCGTGTGATTTTTCATCTTTTACTTTTATTGAGTAAATATACAATCTGAAAATACAGATTCTCTCTGTATTTCTTCGTTAACGTAGGGTTGAGTCTCCCACTATTCTGATCCATGCGCAATCCATTTAGGTCTTCCATTTGCGTCAGTGAGGTGTCTTCTTTTGTTTTTATGTTTTTGGGACCGTTTGTGTGATGAAGAGTGAGGGTTGTGGCATCATAGTTGAGAACAGCATTGTTCATCCTACCATTCACATGTGGTAGGCCTTCTAACTTTAACATTGCACGTGGCGGGATTGTGTGCCATATTCTACAGACCCCATGTTTGATTGAGAATCTGAGTTAAGTGTTTGAGGATTATTCCATTGTCACTTGCAGATCACCGGCTCTGTTCCAACCTAAAACGTTCAATTAGAGTGAATGCCAGGTATTACCTATTCCCAATCCTCCATTGATTGATAATATTTCTTTTAGCCACTCGAAAATTGGTCTCTCTGTCAATAGATTAGTTCGAAATTTGAAATTTAAATTTAAACCTGTTTTATTTTATTATATAACCCGTAAATGATAATACTGACAGATGATGCCTGGCTGTGGGGTTAGAGGGACCGTTTGGCTTTAGGTTATTTTGTTGTTTTCTTCAGTGTAATAGAACATATCTTCATATAGAACCTAAAATGCAGGATTGGGTGGAGGAAGACCAGTCTACATCCGTGATTGGAACACATACTTTGTTTTGTGGACCATTATTTTCAAATTGCATATTGAATGAATGTGATGGTGGGAGGATCTCTAAGTGGCTTTTGAGATTTATGATTGAGTAGCTTTGTAAAGAGTGTTTAAGCCTCGCACCTAAACTAGTTGTGGAAGAACCATTTTAGTTATGATTCTTGGATTTTGATTTTTTTAACAATTTAGTCTCTTAACTTATTAGTAACTAATGAACATTAGCATTAAGTTTTAATCAGATTTCTTGTCTACCTAGATCAATAAACTATTTAGTGACTCAACATGTTTATAAGCATCGAACTCTTAAGTTAGTTAATATTAAGAATCTACATTTAATTTTGATAAAAAATAAAAATGTTAGCCGTTGACAGCTTAACTGATGGGACCCAATCAACTAATGAATGGGTGCCAACTAAGTGGACAGACTGTCAGTTTTTGGGCCCATCACAGGCCTTGTAATTAAATATTTCCAATCAAAACTAATTCCAAAAATTCAACAAAATGAATATAACACATCATACGATCTCCCAGTATAGGGGTGTTTTTTTCCCAATTTTTTTTTGGTAAATAAATAAATATGAAATTAGTGTTTTTTTTTTTTTTTAAAACCACGTGAAGAAGATTTTAAAATTGGCTTATATATGAAAAAATAAAATAGTCTCTTAACAGTTAAAAAAAAAGAAAAAAAAAAAAAAAAAGGGAACTAAATTTTAGTTTCGCAAGGAATTAAAAAAAGGAAAAAAAGAAATTGTGGAGCCCACAGCGGGTTTTGCCGGTTTCTTCTCTAATTTATTTATAAAATGCAAATCACCACATAATCCTCCGCCCCACTACTCTTCTCCTTCTCTTTCTTCGTTCTTCTTCATCGTTTGATCCGAGCTTCCAGAGATTTGGTTGTTCCGAGAGGGAGACCATCCATGGCGTCCTCTAATTCTACTTTTAGGGCTTTCTCCGGCCTCTTCACCTTCTTCACTCTCATCCTCTTCATTCTATCGCCACTCATTGACGCCCACTCTTCGGTCCCCTCTCCCGCTCCCGCTCCCGCTCCCGCTAGCGATGGTAACTACATTCCTCCTTTTCATTTCACTTCTATTTTCTAATTTGCTCAATCTCTATCTCTTCGCATTCTTGTTCTTCTTCTGTATTCCTTGTTTATTGATACCGAAGAATCTAGATCTTTCTTTCAATTCGGGTAGGAACATAATAGTTTTCGAATCTGAAGCTGATTGTGGACAATTTTGTGTGAAAACAGGGACCTCCATAGACCAGGGCGTTGCGTACGTGTTGATGCTGGTGGCGTTGGTTCTCACATACCTAATTCACCCGCTCGATGCATCTTCCAACAATTTTTTTCTGAATTGAATTCTAGGATTGTAGCAATGTAGGCGCTGTTTGTGGACGTTTTGAGAAGGAACGAGGCCCAACATTCTATTTCGTTGTCATAAATGCAGGTTTCAGAGGAATATGTTCATATTGGGTTTCGCAGATTTTAATCCATTGGTCTAATTATTCATTTGTTTATTCCATTACCTTTTTCTCTTCTTTTATCATGATTTATACACTGGATCCATTTTACAGAGAGAGAGAGAGAGTTCAAACCACACCTTTCTTCTAATAGGAGTAGGAGGATTATGTCCTCTGTGTTTCCCTTCCCATGGGGAACAGGCAAAACCAATCAAAATAAGGAAGCAGAAGGAAAACATTTTCAAATTTGAATAGGAAAATGGATTATCTTTTTCATAGACAACTACAGAGTCCTCTCCCCTCCTTATTTCTGGTTGGTTGCTAATTCATTACCTCCCCATGTTTGTCACGTACATAATATTTTGAGAAACTTAGAATCTTAGAATCTGTTTCGAATGACTTGCTTTAAACTTCTTGTCAAAGAATCGTGAAAGCTTGAAAGGTCGATCAAAACAGATTCTTAATCGAAAACTATAAATATCAAACCAAAGACCCCTAGAGACAAAATAGTAAATTTAATTCAAAGTTCATGTACATCTAATCTCGTGTTTGAACAAATCGTCGGGTGAATAACTGGACTTGAGAGGTCTCACAATAGGGGAGATTTTTGTTTCATTAGAAGTTGCTGTCTTAACCATCCAAAGGTCTTTGGCCAAAAGAATCTGTGGAGGAGATTTCTTGAGCTTACATACATAGGGACGGCACATTCCAAGTGACACTCCCTCTATTCAGTCATCGTTTCTTTTGGGTGTCTGTGATACAGAGCATACTTCATAACTTCGTAGAAGGAGACGACTATCCCGACAGAGGGACCGGCACGACCAACCCGGGGACCAATTCCAGTAAACATTCCTTTGATTCCTCCATCCCTGTCCAAAGTATAATGGAACTCATTGCCCAAAGTATAATGGAACTCATTGCCCAAAGTATAATGGAACTCATTGCCCAAAGTATAATGGAACTCATTGCCCAAAGTATAATGAAACTCATGCCAACACCAAGAACAACTACTAATGACAATGGAAACCTTGGAACCAAAATTGCTACTTACCTCCAAATTTCTGCCAGAGTTGTTCTTGTAGTCATCTTTAATGCCTTTTCAGAATCTCTCTGCAAAATACCAAAAGAAACACCAGCTGAAAACCAAATATCAAATGCAACCTTAATTCAGGGTGGGTGGAAAACTCTTAATATTTTGACGAGCGACAAAAATTTTCTAGCTTTTCTTAAACTAAAACACAGTCGTGATGTCGGGAGCCATAGAAACCCATATAGATACAGGCTAGCTTGTTTCCTAGCAAAAAAGGGTGTTCTCATGAAACTTTGATTCACCATTCCCAGCCATTTCAGATATCAAAGTCCCACGACTCAATCAGATGGTGTGAAGGTTTCAATTTTATATGTCAGCTGGGTTGGGAACCATTGGAACTGACTGAACTTCAGCTCAACAAGGAAGCTGTGAAATCAATCTCCGATGAACTTTAGCATAAAACGAAAGCAAACCTTCGCCAAAAGTGTGGGATCGGAAGCCTAAAATTAGAAAATTAATTGGGAAAGAAACCTCGATTTGCCTTCGGGTTTTAGCAACATCCAGTGGACATGTCGCAGCAGCTGCAAGACTTCCAGCAATGAAGCCAGCAGAGAAATTTGCACCAAGCACACTTGATACATTGGCGTCCTCTCCAACTAGGCTTAGAAATTTCCTCCTTGACTGCAAAACAAGGTGGACAGGAAAGACAATCAAAATCCTCAAACATACCAAAGCAAGGCATTATCATAGCTAAGATGTGCCTTTCTCAAACAGCTTGACAGAAAATTTCTCACAGGCTCAAGTGCTGCCCAGCAGATGGCAGAAAATGGGACATCTCGAGCAAGTTGTGCACCAAGGCCAGTCCATAAGAAACGATAGTTCTGTACTGTTGGAAACGGAATCAATACTTTAATACAAAACTTCTACATAACTTGACTAGACACCGAATCGAACTTCAACTAGTGCTTACAATCTTGAAGGCAATTACCCCTAATAGGGTTGACAACCTCAACCAACGTCTTCCACACCCCTGGAGGCTTAGTGCCAGTTTGTTTTTCCCTAAACGCCTAGGAGAGGGAGGGAAGAAAAATACTTGAACTATGAGCATGAGCAATGATTTAGGCTTGTAGCATATCGTCATAAATAAACCCGAAATAAAGATCAATATGCATAATCCTAAACCTGCATTCGCGTCCGTGCAAGTTCAACAGGGTAACATGATATAACAGCTAATGAGCGGGCAGCTGATCCTGCAACTAATGGAACATATGGAGTCAAGTTCGGAGCGTTCTTGGTAGTAAAATCTTCCATGAAATTGCGGAAGATATCATAACAAGGCATGTAGATCCCCACCTGGTAGGCAGCAGGAAGCAAAAAATCATAAACAATGTAATCCGTGGTCATACATCTCAGCTAAAAATAAATACTCACGGTTGGCACAGCCAGAGTTAGGCTTGCATATGTGCCTCGCCACAGCCTCCCAAAGCCTTCCTGCAAATCGTTCAGTTCTTAGCGTTACTGATACTAATCGATCCACCCTTAACAACAAAGTGCCATGTCAAATACACTAGCAAGCTATGCAGGGATCAGGATAAGTAAAGGTAGAAGACTATTGATCACCATAGAGACCATCTAACTTTACTAACATAATTATTCGGAGCTCGATCCTTTCATTAAATACTACATTTCACTGAAACTACAAAAGCTACGGTGCATCTACGAAACTTATGGATGATCTTAATTAGTATTAGTCTTAAGATCCTCGACTAACCTGACGAATAACCTTGTTGAACACATCGAACGTTCCTGTATACCGGTTACACTCTAGCGAACAATTAGGTTCGAGGCCAACGAGAGAACGTGAGCTGGATACTGATGAACATCTCAAATTAGGAATCACCTGAGGAACAACCAAGAAAAAGTTCATTGAGAGTTTTTTCATTATTCAATGTGAGACAACAATTGGCACAAGGTCCTAGCCTCTTCCAGCTCATTGTAAAATTACCAAAGAACTCAGAGTTCCTATCATATTAACATATTGAAACCAATGCAGAGTAAGGTATTCAATTCACACACACCGTATTCCTTTCTAAACTTGTCATCCGGCAGGGCCCTTCATATGGTTCTCCAGCAGCTTGTGCTTGCAACCTTGTCTGAAGAGACATAATCAAAACAAAAAACCAACTTAAAGGTACTCACAAATATGCAACAACACTTGGAAGAACGTCAAGATATTAGTAATTGAAACTACTCTGTCTTCTAAAGAACAAGAAAGAAAACAAGAAAACCCCAATTACAAATTCATAGAAATTTAACATACTTTGGCAATGTCAAGGGGATTAACGAGAATGGCAGAAACAACGGCGGCGGCAGCGGCGGAAAGGGATCTTTCTCCAAAGCTCAAATTGGCATCAGAGAGAGTATTAGAACGGCGCGGCTGCTCCGAGGGGCCTTCTTTGCCGCCTCTCAACATGGAATCCGATAGAGAAGAAACGTTTCCCTCAAAATCAACCCGGGTGGATGAGCAACTCGTCCAAGAGGGTAAATTTGGCTTCAAGCCCACCATATCTTCCTCCACGCAACTGGGTTGAAGAACACCGTACTAATTTCCGTTCTTCCCAATGTTAAGAAGTATTGGGAACTGGGAAATGCAAATTTTCAAAGAAGAATGCGTCCTATAAGACTTTTCGCTGTTGAAGGCTCAAAAATTGTGGGAAGATGGGTCGACGAATTTGACTGAATGTGAAAGAAAATTGAGGCGGCTACAGATAGTTTGGTGATCAGAGTGAAATCGAAGAGGAAGACGAATTGGGTTTTGTAAAACACATAAGAAAAACAGAAATATATATATGATTTCATTGATTTGTGGGAAATTGTAAGCTGCAGGCAATGTTCATTTCATGGAAAGGGATTCGTGGCGTGGACAGAAAGGCGCCAAGCAATTGGTGGAGCAGTGGCAAGTCCTTCGACTTCTATCTTTATTTTTATATTTATTTTCATTTCTGTGAATAAAACTTTTGGAGGCCTAATTAGGGTTTGTGATTTTATTCTATTCTATTTTATTTATTTAATTTGAGTTGTTAAATTGTTTATAACCAACCCTGACACAAAATGCCACCTCTCAAATAACCTTAAATACAACTGGATGAATAACTAACTAGTCATAGAATAACAAAAAATACAACTTTATTCCAAAAAAAAAATAAAACTTTATTTAAAAAAATATTACAAAAAAAAAAAAAAAGCGTGGTCAACAACGGAACATATAACGACACCACTTTTCACACACGTATTGATCTATTTAAAAGCGGGTGATTTTGTAATTTAAAACCATGGGAAGAATGCAACAAAATATATAAGTGAAAATATACTCTGAAATCTGTTTAAAAGAACCTTAAAATGAAGTTTAATGAGATAATTTAACAATGTCGAAAAGCATATCATTTTTATTTTTCTAGTTCATATAAATTAGGAATTTTCTACTAAATATAAAATTTAATAAATTAGTTTAAATGGAAACGTTTTAAATAAATAAAATATAAAGACTAAAGCCCATATGTTTGGGCTGCCTATTTTTGTTACAAATGCCAATAATATTGGGCCGATAGTATTAAATGGGCTTGGCCCAGTCGTCCGGCTTAAGTTCGAAATCATTTATAAAAGGCCCACTAAAGCCCAAACACTTTGCATTTTAGTCCAACTCAAATAGAATTTTGTAATGTGGGGCCCACATTGGTGTATGTTGTACATGCATGCATGTAAATGTAAATGATTGGTGGATGCATGTGATGGGCATGCCTTTATTATCATGGACCAATAGTTACTGAATGGGCTTTGCTGTTCCACGTGGAGGCTATAAAGGTGTGTATGGTACTCACGAGTGTGGTGTGGTCCATCTGATTACTCCCTTAGTTGTTTGTCACACTTATTCTGTCGGTCAAATGGGCCTAATGGGCCCTTCTTTTTCTTTTTTCTTTTTCTTTTTCTTTTAATTTCCCTAATTTTCACAATTATCTTTATAATGCTATTCATTACTCACTCATATATATATATATAGTAATTAAAAGTTATTGGAAATAATTTTTTCCACGTCACGAGTAATCCATTTGGGCCTAGACTGCAATTATTTCTGCGTATCCAGGTGTTTATGGCCCACCAATAAAAACGTACGAGGGAAATTATTGAATAGATGGGCCCAGCCCATTTAAGCAAGTTCAAATAGAGGCCCAAATCCCCCTCTGATGTTTGTCCACTATCCCACGTGATCTCTCAATTTTGTCACAACTCAATTCTCCACCCTAATATTATGTCAGCTAGCACTTCAGTACTTGTAAATATACACGAGGATTAATGTTCATTAGTGCAAAATGGAGATGGATACGACTCGTTTACTCTATTTGTACGATCCGTTTACTCTCTAACTCAACTACTAATTCATCTAGGTCGAAGATATATCCTTAAATAAGTTGAATTATACTCATGGCACTTTTTATTGCCTTCTCTAATCTAAAAGAGGAAAAGAATAATCATGAAATAAGGTTTAAACAAACATAAGAATAATCACATCATTACATGTTTGTTAGATACTCAATATGGGACCACGTTTTGAGTGGAATAAGTTGATTGAATAGGAGGGGTGATAGAGGATTTTGGCTGTTTTATTGAGTAAATATGTTAGGATTGGAATGGGAGAGGGTTAAAGATGATGGGGGTGTAAAAGGGGAAGGGTAGGACAGAAAAATGGCCACCACAGACCCACACAAGAATCAGTGCTGTGTAGACGACACCAACCTATATGCTTTCTTCTCCCTCTTTTTCTCGCCTTTCTTTTCACTTTCCTTCATTTCTCTTCTTCTTTTCTTTCTCTTCTCATCTTCAACCTAACCTACTTCCCTAACTATGTAGCCCTCTTTCTTTCCCTTTCACCCTACCCGCTCGTTAACATATCGGTTCTTATAAAGAGTTACCAGATTGTTCAATCACGAACATTGTCGACAATACTATGATTGAGACGACATAAATGCATGTCTGACTGCCATATGCACTTTAAACACAAGATTTACTGTCAGATCCCACGTCGATTGGAGAGGGAACAAATATCAATGAGGACGCTGGGCTTCGAAGGGGGTAGATTGTGAGATCCCTCGTAGGTTGGAGAGGGGAACGTAATATTCTTTATAAGGGTGTGGAAACCTATCCAACATGTTTTAAAAATCTGGGAAAGCCTGAAAGGAAAAGTCTAAAGAGAACAATATTCAGTGGCGGAGGACTTGGGTTATTACATGTATGATGTATGATTCTCATAAAAACGAACAAATCAAAGAAGGCTCAATCGATATTGTTGTGTTAACTTCTTCTCTTTTAAGTCTAGGTGTGAAATCCCCCATCGGTTCGGAAGAACGAACATTCATTACAAGGGTGTGGAAACCTCTCCCTACCCTGAAAACCTCTCACTAGAAGACATGTTTTAAAAACTTTGAGGGGAAACTCGAAAGAAAAAAAACCATAAAGGGTCATATATGCTAGTGGTGGGGTTTGGTTGTTACAAATAATATCAGAGCCAAACATGGGGCAATATGCCAGCGAGGAGGCTAAGCCCCGAAGAGCGGTGGACACGAGGCAGCGGCGTGCCAGCAAGGCACTAGACCCAGAAGGGGGTGGATCGGGGAGTCCCACATCGATTAGAGAAGAAAACTAGTACTAAAGAAGACGTTGGGTCCCAAAGGGAGGTGGATTAGGCCGTTACACTAGGCTTGCTCAAAGGCTCTGCGGGTTTAGCCGATGGGACAAAACATACATTTATTATACCAAGCAAACACATAACAAACCATAAAGGGATATCCACTCGGTTTTCAAATTAGCTAGTAATACACATATTTGTCTCTAGCTAACTTACATATTTTAAGATATAACGAACAGGAAATACGAGACATATCACACGAACGGTAACAACAACACAAAGGGTTGATATTACGATTCATCGACAAATTCGATATCATGAAGTAATACAAAAAAATAAAAAAATAAAAGGATTGAATTGAACTAAAATGAGAGAATGAAATGTAAAAAAAATGGAAAAGGAAGGGTGAAGAGAGAGTGATGGTCCACAAGAAACCTCGTACCAGTTGTCTGCAGTTAGAGGGCTAAATTATTTTCCAACATCATAACATTTATTTCAAAAGCTAAGTGTGACAGATGTGTATTGCCTCTTCAATTATTCTCTCCTTTTTCAACTTTCTAAATGAAGATATATATAAATAATTTCCCCCTAATTGCACACACAATCTTATCACCCTACCCCCCACTATAAATCGTTTCACATTTAAGGACTTCCCATCTAATGTTTGGTCTTTTTGTTAAATTATTTGTTCAAATGGGTTTACAAACCTAAAGAATTCATCTCGTTTCTCTTTATTTTTCACATAATCTTAAACTCTAACATGTTCAGTTTACTCGAACAATGTTTTTAGACGCTTAATCCTTAATTAACACACTGCTACTAATGTCCGATGTCCAAATTGGTAATTTAACCTAATTTCGTTACTTTATTTTTTCAAATTTCAAATACAATTAGTTGGTCAAAATTAAAAAAAGGAATAAAGTATTTAGATACTCCAACCTACTACCCCATTTATTGAACATATCTCAAATCTAGAAAAAGTGGGGATTACATAAAGGGGCATCTCACTATTCTATTTCCATACAATACAATTCACTCCAAAAATAAAAGCTCAGGAAACTTAATTTAGAACACAAAAATTTAGAAACTAATAATAACAAATTAATAAATAAAAAAAGATGGCAAAAATAAAACCTCTCACAGACACAGCTGCTCGTACGATCCCAGCTAATTTGTCAGTCAGTCAGTCAATGCGATACTAAAGCTTGGATCTTGAAAATAATTCTCTACGTCCCATTTACATGAATCGAAATCCACCGAAATGTCCCCGAAATCTTCCCATTTCGGAATTTCCAGTTCCATTTGGTCGGAAAATAACGGTTGTGGGCTTCTTAGATTGAACAAGAAACTGTTGGAGTTCCGATCATATAACCAATTGAATTCGTCTTCTAATCCTGATTCTTCGCTTAGATGCTCAATGGGTCTCCAATTTTGTTCTTCTAATCTCAAGACGGAAGTCGGAGAGCAGTGATTCCGGAATTCTTTGCTGTAGGAAACTCCCACTGCTGCCGTACTATGATTTTCCGGCGGCGGCGGTGGTGGCGGTGGAGGGAGGTATGTGACAACAGTTGTTTTGGAATTGGGAGCTTCGGCGACGAAATTGGTAAAAGCGTTGGGACCTCTAAGGCGGACGGCGGCACGGTCGTAAACGACAGCGGCTTCCTCCGCCGTGTCGTAGGTTCCAAGCCAAACTCTTGTTCGCCGTAAAGGGTCTCTGATCTCCGCTGCCCATTTGCCCCACGGCCGCCGCCGAACTCCTCTAAACTTTCTATGGCTCTCCGAATTCGACGGCGGCTTAACTCTCGATTTCGGCGGCGGTGGCTTTTTGGAACAATCGGTAGTGAGAAGCCTGATCTCAGTCACGTGGCGTTTGACGTGGCGGATGAGGATTGGCTCTTCGTCCTCACCACTGGACGAATCGGTCGCATCGCCGTCGGTGTAGGAAATTCGGACGAGCTTGGTCTCCGTCGCCGGTTTGTCGGTGATGGTCCGAACTTCTCTGAACTTAATTCCGGCGGAACAGACTCGCCCCATTGATGGGTACTGGAATTCCATAGCCCTCTAAACTTTAAACTCAAGATTCGTAAAAAAAAAAAAAAGGGGGAAACGAAATAAGATCTTTTAAGAACTAAATTTAGAGAAGTAGTAGGAAGGGGAATGAGAGTGAAAAGAGGAAGAGAAGGTTCTGAGACTGAGTCGGAGCAGAGCAGAGCAGAGGAAAGCAAAGAGGCCTAGATTTATATGACGCTTCTGTCCTCTTCACTTTCTCGACCAAATATTTTTTAAGTTGGTAAGTATCTATTAATTAAGTATAAATTTCAAAGATTAGAATCGCCGCATATTCCATCAGAACGTTGTGCTTTCGACACGTGGCCGTCCCCTTTTTCACTTTCTCCGTTTTATTTATTTATTTATTTATTCATTTATTTCAACTATGAAACGGGAGCAGATATTTTTTTGGTTTGTTCATGCTCCCAAGTCCTACACATAATAATAATAAGGTTTCTACTTGTTCTTTTTTTTCTTTATTGTCTCTTCCATTATAAAACCAACATTATTTTTATAACGTTTAATATTTATCTTATATTCATTAAGGAATTGGCTTAGAGTTATTTGAATGGTTAGAATGTCAAAAAGGTAAAACTCCTCCACTATCTAAATTTAAATGGTTTTTTTCTGTTTTTTTTTTTTTAACAGATTATAAATAACAGGCCAGGCATGTGAGTCCAAGACATTAAAGGAACTGTCATTCTCATTAGATATGATCACAAAATTCATCTTCTTCACGTGACTTTCCTTCACCCATGGATTTATTTTGTTTTTTTTATTTTTATTTATTTCTCTTCACTTCGAATAAACTTTGGAGTGTTTAAGTTTTTATTTTTATTTCTCTTCTCTTCGAATCAACTTGGGAGTGTTTAAGCCTGAAACTGAAAGTTAAGAAATATTCCGAGGACAGCCTTCAAAAACTATTTCAGCTAGCACTAGTTTAGGAATAAGTATTTTCAAAATATTTATTTGGACTCGTGCCTTTAAAAGGTAAGCATTTTGGTCCCTCTCTACATTAGCTATAAATTTTTACTAAAGATTTTCTTTTTTATTCAAATTTTGAAAATATGGATCAACTAGACTCATGGATGAATTAAAGTTGAAACTACGGAAGTCAAAACAGTAGTTTAACCTTAAAATATTACCATCTAACAACTAATGATATTTAAGATTTTAAAGGTAAGACTTCAAAGATAATGGATGAATGTATATTGGGCTAACTGTTTTTTTTTTTGTAACATTCATAGACACAAATATTTCAAACACTGAGAAATTATTCAATTAGACCGGCATTAGATATGAATTCTATAACAACTTAAGTTCACCACTAGTAGATATTGTACTCTTTGGATTTTCCCTCTCGAACTTCCCCTCAAGATTTTTAAAACATGTCTAATAGAAAAAAGTTTTCATACTCTTATAAAGAATACTTTGTTCCCCTCTCCAATCGATGTGGGATCTCACAATCCACCCCCTTTCGGGGCCCAATGTCCTCGTTGGCACTCGTTTCTCTCTACAATTGATGTGAGATCTCACAATCCACCCTCCTTCAAGACCCAACGTCCTCACTAGCACACAAAGCCTGGTGTACACTCCCCTCCAGAGCTCACCATTCTCGCTGCTGGCACATTGTCTGGTGTTTAGCTCTGATACTATTTGTAACCACCTAAATCCACCACTAGCAAATATTGTCCTCTTTAGTCTTTTTTTTCGAGCTTCCCTCGAGGTTTTTAAAACACGTCTACTAAGGAAAGGTTTCCACACCCTTATACAAAAATATTTCGTTTTCCTCTCCAACCGAGGTGGGATCTCACAACAAATTCAATGGCAATAAAACTCATATGCCAAAAAGTAATTTCTTTTAATATAAGAAGCCTAGGAACCAACCAAACATCCTTTTCTCTCTCTCATTAGATGACAAATGTTGGGCAATGGTCCAAAACTCATTATTGGAAGTGAAGGCTCCCGAAACCAAACAAAGAGAGCATGCATGTAATAACCCGACCCTGCTGTTGGCAGAATTGCCGAGGTGAATGATGAAGCTTTGATAGATATTATGTGCCTTAGAATTTAAGTTTTTAAGTATATGAATAGCTTTGGACAATTATTATCTGAAAGGGAAATCTGAGGTGTAGTTCATGTCCACCTACGTTTGAAGAGATGGCAAAACCAACTTGAGGATACCAAAGGACAACACAACATTTAATGATTTATTTCTTTTTGGGAATGGGAGGTAGGAATTGTCCCACTTTCTTTGTCAACCAAACTGCAGCCCTTAATCTCTTTCTATTGACAGAGAGGAGAGAGATAGATCTTAATGAATTGACGTAAGAATGGTAGGTGCAACAAAGAAGACATTTCGTCCATAATTGTCAACTAAGACAAGATAATGTCAAGATGTTTTCGGATGAATCTTATTTATATTTGGATTGGATAAGCTTAAAACGTATTTTGAAATAATAAAAACCCTTCTTAATTTTTAACTATATTTTGTTATATAGTAAAAAAAAAGTTATCCTAAATTCTTCCAACTTGTGCCTTTTTTATTGCTTAAAATCTCTACAGCTATACAAAACTCAACTTACATCTAAATGGAAGTTCTGTCCCAAGAAATAAATCCTAGATCCAAGAATATATATGGATTTTTATTACCATGGGTCTGGTATATGGGGCAACTCTGGAAGTGCTTAAAAATGTGTTTAAGCCATTCCAAATAGGTAATGATTGGAGAGCCATAAAATCCCATGTTCTTTAGGTTAGGTTATGTAGAGCCTTACCCTCCAACCCACCCCGCTAGTTTCATCTCTACGTTTGCAGCAAAATAAGTACAAATAATTTCTCAATTTCTAAGGAAAAATGTCTAGATCCAAGCAAGAAATATAAGGCAGTTGACAAAATGAATGGTGAAAAAAGAGATTAGAATGTGGAAAAGATCGCATACCCTCAGAAGTCAAGTGGGGTGGAAATGCAATTGGAACCGCGCTGGCCCATTTTCCGCCTTTATCCTCCACCATCATAAGAAGCCATGATGCGCAATAGTTTCTTCGCTATCTGGAAATCTAGGATTAAGAATCACAGGTCATGGAACTGTACGAAACCAAATCCATATAATTGATATATATTAGTTGAACACAAGCTTAAAGCACCACGTTGATTTTAAATTGGGCAGCATAAAATTGTTTCAATCTCCAACGATAGTAGATTGTACAGAAAACTTTCATTTATACATAAGAACTAACAGCAGCATCCTTCATGCCCTTCCCATAATACATACTAGCCCATAGCATATTTTTGAGTCCAGCTCCTTGCAGTTGTCTCATACTTGGCCCTATCCGTCTTGTACAGATGAGCAATTTCGGGCACTAGTGGATCATCTGGGTTCGCATCGGTCAAAAGGGAGCAAATAGAAAGCAACACCTGAATATGAAACAAGAACCCTTCCCAACCACTTAAAAACTGCATATGGCATAAATCAAAGCTTGGAAAATGGTGAAATTGATTGACAGTCACTCTCTATTCTCAATAACGCTTACCAAAGACGCTGAAGATCAGAAAATGGTCTCAATACTCTAAAATAAGATGCCGTACACAATCTACATCTTAAGAAAATGTCTGGATTTTTTTTAGTGGAGGGAAATAGACTATCTCAGAAAAACATACTATGGTCTCCCCATGTCAACACTGGACAGCGACCACTTGATGGTACTCATGGCACTACTTAAATGATAAGTAACCCTTAAAAGCTTACAGTATGAACTTCATACAAAATTGAAATCTAATCAGAATATCTGCATTTTGTATGCTCCAGACTCTTGTTGTGTTTCAAATATAGTTGCCAACTTACTTTTTCAGTAGTTGGTCTTAAGTTGATAGCTTAGCTGTGTTTTGACATGACGAGTTCTTGGATTTAAATTTTTAATATCATGACTGCTTCTTTAACAATTTGGATTGAATATTACTATGATTAAAGATTATTAATACAACTGTACATGAATGTTGGCAATGAGCACTCAAATTATTAAAAAAAAAAAAAAAATCTTCTTTAATATAAGTATATCAGATTAGTGTCTCGAATCCCTAGTTAGGTAACAAAATCGTAAATAGTGACCACAGTTAATTCAAAGAACTTGATCCAAAAAGCCATGGTGCAAATGAGGCATAAGATAATGGCATTCAAAAATCTAGGATTTGAATGGTAAAATTGTCGAGAGGTCAAAACCTTTGATATAGTCAAAGCTGGACTCCATTGCTCTTTCAAGATGTCCAGGCAAATACTACCATTACTGTTGATGTTTGGGTGAAAAACCTTTGTCCTGAAAGCAACCTAAGCAAATAATAAATTGAAACAACGTAAAAAATTATAGGTAAATGACTCCCTATATAAAGTCACATAATTAATGATACATAGCAATAATAATACAAGCTCAAAAAACAGAAAAAACTATCAAGGAAGAAAGAAAACAGAAGAGAAGGGAAAGATGAGAGACTTCTTCCCCCAATATAGCCAATGAGGGAAGCAAAAACAGTCTCTAATTAGCAAAAGCCAATCGAAAGCCCTCCTAATAAGATCTCAACGTTGCATTAAGAAAACCACATGTATCCCTTGAAAAATTCTGCTATTTCTTTCCAGCCAAATCTCCCAAAAGGTGACCTTGATAGTTAGTATTTTATTCAAATGGATGACCTCCTCATACAAGAATAAAATTTTGATGTCCAGCAGAAAACCACCTGGAAACTGAAATATCAAAGAAAATACACCTCCACATGCTCAAAAGGACAAGGGCACCACAAAAACAAATGGGACGGCAGCTTCAAAATTAGATCCGTGCACACATTGCACCACTCGAGTGAGACGGAGTTCTTAGGATTTCTACCCTGAGTCTGTCAGGTGTAATCAGCCCACCACGCATAGGATTTAGGGTCCATATAAAGAACCTATGGCTTCCAAATTAGATCAGATAAAATTCCTGAAATTAAGAGCCAAACCCAAGGTTTACACTCTAGCATTACAAAATCAAGAACAAGGACGCTCCATCCACCAAGGGAACATTCCTGAAATTGAGTTTTTATAATCATCTCACCTAAATCAAGTCATTACACTTATCTTCCCCAAATCAAGTTTTTACATTTAACTACAGATGGTGCTTACACTATGGTAAAATAGGCAGTAAGCAAATTTGTAGCAATAACATGCAAATCATATTCACATGAAAAATGCGCAGAAAACTTCCAATAAACCTCCAATGAGATATGTGGTTTATATACTAAGTTTTCAAAGTGCGGCCTTTGTATGGTCAATACATCTGTCACAAAATATAATTTTTCAGATACCACACATTAAACTATTTTCCTGAACAATCTCAAAAAATAATCGACAGGGTTAAGCAATAGCAAATTAACTGTTTAGATCAAAAAGTGTGTAAACAGCTTCTTTCTCTGACTTCGTTGAGTTATTAATTAAATAATTATTAAAAACAGTGACAACAAACACATATTGCAGCCACTAGAATAATTAGTGAAACAAAGACCACATATAGTAACAACTTATTTGAATGATAAAAGCAGAAATAACGGGCTTCAGAAATTTACAGTGTTAGTGAATTGAAAAATATTGAATATAACCAAATATGTAAGATTTGATAGCGTACCTTAGGAGGCTTAAATGGATAGTCGGGAGGGAAGTGAATAGTAATTAAAAAAACACCTCCTGCATAAGGACTGTCTGGAGGACCCATAATTGTTGCTTGCCAATGAAACAGATCTTCAGCAACAGGACCTGTGTTACAGAACATCTTGTCTTATATTTATGAACTTCGAGGGAAATTTTGATCCATCCAGAAGAGGAAACAAAATAGGTTTAATAAAACACCTTGTTGGTAATAGCAGACTACTTATTCGGACAAAAATTTAATCATCGAGCCAGACACAGAGCGTAGATTTATAATCTCCTACTTAAATCTTAAGCAATTACACCGTTCTGAGTCTAGTTCAATTTTAAATCAACATGGTTTTAAACTTGAAGATTCTTAGAATAACGCTTTAAGTACTAGACTATAGTAAAACAGATACACCGGTATCTATAGTTTCCTATTCGAATAGAGCCTTGTTTCAACAAGCTTAGCATATGCGATAGATCGAACTATAATGCATCCTTTAGTTTCTACATTTCCTAATTCCATTCCACAATATGATCAATTATTCTGATAAGAGCCAACGCAAACCAAATTCCATACTTGAACCCTAAATCTGAGATAGCAAGTGAGTGGTACGAAGTCCAAAACCGATTTTCCTAGACTTCGGAATGGTTAGCATATTGTGAACATGATAATTGAATTTCAGAGTTGATACTATTTCACGCAATCCCCAAACAAACATTTGGATCCACTTAATTTCCAAATAACAGGCCAAGAATAAAGTTGTTGGAAGTCTCCGATGCTCGATGTAAGAACGCAATCACTAGATCGACCTTAAAAAGTGAAGAATAGTAGATAGTAAAAGGGAACCAGAGTAGAAAGAATACTGAACCAGCGCTACAGGAAGTAGGAGGATCTTTCTGGATATCATTGAGCTCTTTCAGGATCCGCTTCGACGCCATGGACTGAAACCTCGAGAGGCCTCTCCAGTGACAAAATTGAGGGGGGAAATGGAGGAAGTGTCTTATGCAGGGAAATGAACGCGCCAACGAACTTAGTTGGCGAAAGCGTAGCGTGGAGAATCAGCACTCGTTTTTTTCAAGATTATTGCAGCATTTTTTAGAAGTACTAATACTAATAATAATGTTATTATTATTATTATAAAAACGTAACTCTTGGCAATAACGCAGAAAGTCGGATCCGGGTCACGTCAGAATCCGTTACTTTGGACAAATAAAAATTTATATCGAAAGTCTTATTTTCATTGGATTATATTTAAAATCAACGCAAATTATTTAAATAAAATTATTACTCTAAAAAAAATCATCAAAACTATGAGAAAAATGGAATGAAATACCCATGTTAAAATTAGACTAAATTTATTCCATTATAAAAGTTTTAGGATTTGAGAATTTAATGAATTAAGTCTCAAAAGTTTAGGAAGAAGTTATATATTTTCATAATTAAATGTAATTGACCTTCTTATTTAAAATACGTTTCCTACAAATTATAAGGGCATAATAGTCAAATACTATTGTTGGCTATTTAATTCGGAAGTTTAAAAATTTAGCTCATATTTATTCGATTTAAAAATATATATTGTTGGTTAAGTAATAATACTCAAAATTTTACATTATCTTTCTAATTAAAAAGTATTAATTATAAAGCTATAATTAAAAGAAGAAGAAAAGTCAGCTAACTAAAAAATTAAATATTAAATAAATACACCCGAAAACAGATATTTTAACACCCAACAAAAAACCATAAAAGTGGTCTCGTCTAACTTTAAAATAATTCCCCCTTTATTAGAGTAACACGTCAACTAAATGAACTAAAAAAACTAATTCATATATTAATTTTTTTTATTTTTAATATTAATTGATGAGAAAATTATGTATTTTTTATTAGATGAAAGTCCTACCTCACCTAATCCTTGCCTAATTTAGGAAATGAGAGCCCTTTTGGAAAGCTCAAAACAAACCTAAATCTATAAGAGCTCATATTTTCTATGATGAGTAGCATGTACAATTAATTTCATTTTTGTTAAATCATGATTATCATAATCCATACATTTTTCAGAATCAGAAATCAAATCAAAATGTTACCAAAAATTGAGACTAAAAGCGTACCTATTTTGTTTACTGTGATGGGTAGCAAATCGCATGAGGTTTTCTGTGTTCATGAAGTTTAATCGCACTGTAATTACCATCTCAAATTGATTTGATTTTAAGATTTTTTTTTTTTTTCTGTTTCTTTTTCCCTTCTCTTATGGCTACAGAAACCATCTGGGCAAATGAATGGAGCATTTCGGCGTGTTGCCTCCGTCGAGACGTTTCAAGCTCACGCCACCGCACGACACTTCGATCTTCACCCGCGGCGTTCTCCGCCCATTCAACACGAATCCGATTTTCGTACGTGCTTCGACGATCACCACTAGCTCTCCGGTTTTGTTGCCGGAGTTCAGCTTCCGCCCCGCTCCGCCGTCGACGATTTCGTTGCTGACCATTGTTTCGATCTTCCAACTCGTCGTGTTCTCCTTCGAATGAATAAAGCTCGGCACGATTGTTGATCCTAATTCAATTCGAGTACCTTCTCCGGCGGCGGTAACGACCTCGATATCGCGGTAATTTAGTGATAACTTCTCATTAGGATTCTTGATTTCAATGCGACCGATTGTTTTGGCGTTTAAATACGAGCCGTCGGCTTTGTCGGTGACGTTGAATTTGGAGATCCGGAATGATTGGAGATGAAACACAGGAAGTTTTGGCTCAAACCAGAGGTATAAAAAGCCACCGGCGGCGACAATCACGACGATCAGGATCAGAACAAAAAGGCAGAGGAAGCAACAGAATCTCCGGCAGCAGCTCCGTCGCTTCTTGTTATTCTGGCTTAGCGGCGACGGTAGAATCAGTTTCCTCGCCGGTGGTCTGGGCACTGGCGGAGCAGTGAGATTTGGATCTTTATAACCCGGAGGCTTCTGGAGTACGGGCTTCAATGGCGGCTCTGCCATACTCTCTGAACTCAACTAACTCTCTACAGAAATCTGATTCAAATACAGTCGATTAAAAATCAATGCACAAAACGAGATTAAAAATAATAATAATAACAATAAAGGAACCAATTCAGTTAATCAGTCAAGTACATGCATCGCATTAAATAAATGAAACAGAGAATTTGGTTCCCTTGGAAAAGAAAGAGGGGGAAAAAATGGAATTCATCTCATCGGTAATGTGGATCGCTACCTTAGAGTCGAGTCGGTGACCGGAGACCTGCCGGAATTCCGATAATCCGACGAGAAGAAATCGATGGAAAATGGGAGAGTGAGGCAGAGGAGGAAGACAAGGGAGCCTTGCGGCGGTGGCGGAAATTAGGCTGCACGGCGTTTCGAGTGGTTGCGTCACATAAATTCCAAATTGGTAATAACATATTATCATATTTATACATTTGAAGTAATAATTATTTAAAATAACCATATTCCAACCCTATAATTTTGAAATTAATTCCATTTTATTTCGTAATGTTAATGGAAGGCCATGAAGGGAATAAATGAAAATAAAAATATTAAAAAATAGAAAAAGATTACGTGGCTTATGGAATAAAGATGTGTGTTATCATTTGCCAAATATGTAATAGACGTGCTGAGATGTCCTATTTTAATGCCCTATTTGCCGAGTCCACTAGGACTTTGGCTGTACACGGCAGGCTACTTCATAGCTGCCAGTTCATATAATATTTAACTTTTTTATTTTTTATTGTTTTAAATGAACTCACTTGAAATCCTAAATGAATTATAATTTCAATTATATGTCAGCATTTTTCAAAGTTCACAATTATATTTATACAAAACTAAAATTTTAACCATTTTACTAAATATAAAATTTGATTTTATGTTTAATATATTTATTATTTTTTTAAAGAAAATTAAACAGGTCAAATACCCACTAACTAATAATAAACAATGTTAATTTGCATACACTCTTATTAATAATTAAATGTTAATTACAAATCTAATGAAGAAATTAGAGAGAGTGTGGGCAGCGGAAGCGTGGTTGGACGGGATTTTTGGTTTAATGTTCTTGGGGTGTTTAATTAATTTGGGCGGCCCCACCAAATTGACGGAAATTTTCATTTTCGGCTTGCAGCTATTTCCTTACGGAACCCCAAAATATTTATGTAGAGATATTATATTTAAAAATTGACTTCTTAGAGAACCCAAATACGAAATCAATTTAAATGAAGAAATCCTCAAACCTTCGATATATAATATTCATTACAATCAAAACTATATTATATACATATGCTAAAAGTCCCGAAACAACACTAATGTTTTAATCAAAAGGAAAAAGTGGGTGCATTTTATAATTATGTGAAAAATACATATCTGTCAATAAACTGTTTAAATATTGTTAATTTGTTTTGTTTTGTTTTGTTTTTTTAATGCTACAAAGATTGTTAGGAAAAAGCATTTATTCCCAGTTGAGATAAAGCCATGATCCACAAAAGCTTGTCTACTAATGAATCATATTGACCCACCACCCTATTTGCACTAACACCTGTTTGTTTTTTTTTTCTTTTTATTTAACAATATACAAGGCAGGAAATTCAAGTCCGTTGATTCATACTCGTGTTGGCAGTCTCATACTTTGACACGATCATGATTATCCTCAAAGAGAAACTCAAACTTCATTATACTTTTTCGTGCATTTTTTGTGACTTCATGCTTCAACAAGGTTCATTTTCACCCACAAAACACAACTGCAGCCGACTTGCTTCTTGTCCCGTCGTCAACATTGCATCATATCTCACCATCTTTGTTCTTGATAAGCATGTCCAAACAAGTAGTGGCGTAAAAGCTTGAATGTTCGTTCTTAATTAGCACTGTACTAATATCAAGAAACATCATCAAAGTTCTCAATTAGCACTGCGCTGATATCAAGAAGCATCAGTCAAAAACAACCGAGAGTTTTCGATTAGCATTGTAATGTATCAAACCGATCATCCTGATAAGCATTATAAAGTCCCGATAAAGCCCCAATCCTATATTATACACACACCATTTAGTTGAAGATCTTCATCGAAGAGAAACCAAGTGTTGATAAAAAAAAAATATTACAAAAGAGGGAGTTTGTGGTACTAAGAACAAAAGAACAAAAGAACAAAAGAACAAATTCACCCTTCTCTTCCTCTAAAAAGCAAGAAGATAGTTAGGGGATATGCAGAGCCATTCATTAAAAACATAGGCTTCCCATGCTGCTTGCAGGATACCCCACAACTTCCTAATTTCTTCAATTCCACTAAAAATCAAACAAAAAATCACCATCTTCTTCTAACACTCTACCATAACATTCTTCCCTTCTGTGCCTGTCCCGGTTCGATTTCCTCTACAAGTCGAGAGAGAAACTCGAGGGGACGACGGTGAGTTGCAGTTTCCCCGTCCATTCCTCACCCGGCCTCAACATGATCGGACTCTCTAACGCTGCTCCGTTCACGCAAAGCATCTGTTTGTATTCTTCATCGCCGAAATCCACCATTGCTTTCGACTTCTTCTCCCATGGATTCCAAACAACTTTCATACACAAACAGAAACACAATAAGCCTAAGCCCCACCCCACCTAATAATGCATCAATCACACATTCTAAATCTTACCAACGTCAGGTAATCCTTCCTTTCTTATCACGTAAGTCCGCTTCCTCTCGTGATCAAGTACAGCGACTACATTCGGAGTGCTCACATATACTCGATCCACCTGCCAATCAAAGAAATCAAGCATTATTTTACGAAAGACAATGAAACCAGAAGCCGAGCTTCGCTTGAGAACTAGAAATACAGAAATCACCTCAGATTCAAAGGTTATGGCATCTCCTTGTTCGGTAAACCGCTCCTTTTGACATAGATTGTCCAAGAAGTCGAGCGTTTCCAGGCCTTCGATTCTCACCTCGCTTCAATGTAATTAAAACTTGCAACATATATAAGAACCTGAACTAACAAGCAGAGAAATACATGGAGATCAACACAAACTCAAGCTACCTTATGTCTGAAACCACCAAGTGAGTGTGATAGGCAAATGAGAAGCCAAATGGTTTTCCATTTACATTCCTGACTCTAGATCTCAAAACCAGGTCACCGCAGGGTAGTAGAGATACCCGAAGGCGGAGCTCGAAACTGAAAGGTAAAGGTGAGAATCGTTTTCTTAGTAATGTCAAAGAGCTGTTCGTTTAACAACTCATAAACTTTATGCATAAAATTTACCTATAGGGCCAAAATTTCAAATCCTCCTCTGAAGATCTGTATAGTAAATCAACAAAGGAGCACGCATCGATATCATTTGAGCACAATGGCGGCGGGTTTTCGTCGATGGTCCAGATCTTGTTCTTCACGAACCCGTGCTGCTCTGGTGATCCACAGCTTCCAAACTACAAAAATTTTCACAAAAAACACACCAGCAATGAAGAAAAATTCTTGTAGAGATCTGCAAGTGAACAAAATTTTATATGTACCTGTGGGAAACATATGGGAATTCCTCCCCTCATAGCTTTTGGTGCCTTAAAGATTGCCTAAAATTCGAGAACACAGTAACTCAGAATCTCCAAACAAACTAAACCCAGGATTTAAGAACTGGAACTGAATTTCTAATAACATTTTGTTTTACCAATTCGACTCTAACAGCTACTCTTAAACAGCCAAAACATCCAATCAATAGTTTCATGAACACAAGAGGAATCAGATGCTTACCTTGCTACTTGTGAAGAGAAGCTCCTCCCCTTGTTCATTTCGCCAAGAACAAACCTGTCCTCCATGTAAGCTAATCTACATAATCGAAAGCCAAAAAACCCCAAATCCAGAAGCAGAGATTCAATCAATCAACCCTAAAATAGAACAGAACGAACAAGAAAAGGCACGCCCTAGCGGAGGGAGATAGTAATCAGCATTGCGATATCTAATCCAAATCGAAATGCCATGAAAATGGAAGAAGAGAACTCACCCTAGCGGAAGCCCCTTTGGGATTTCTAAGCACAACCTGATCAATGCCATTCCAATCCTTCGTAATCTCAGTCGCCGCTCTGTAATCCCAAACCGGCGCGGAATGCCCCATGACTTCCTTAACCCCAAAATTCTCGTCAAAGTAGAAAACGAGGAGAAATTTCACGGCAAACCCAAATGATTTCTCGAGCCGATACAGTTGAAAATCTGAAGGAATACCCGAAATTGTTTCGTCGATTAATGGCGCTTAGATCTGTAAAACTGCACAAGGGAAAACCAGATTATCGCCGAACCCGATCGTTCCGCATAAGGAAAAAAAAGCCGCAAACGAAGCAACCCAGAAGGCGGAAATTTGGAGTAACGCAACTCGTAGCGAAATAGAAATTTAATAACGAAAAATCACGACCGTTTCAAATCCTTTATATATATAAATATAAATATATTTAAGAAAGAGGAAAAAAGGGTAGTTTTTATATACATTTATTGTGGGCTATAGAGAAGCTTTTTCTGAATATTCGCCAAAGCCCCCATTTAAAGAAGAGTGCGAGTTTCCATTGAAAGGGCCTTCGAAAAGGACCAAGACAGAGACAATCCTGATAACCAATACCCCTTTCCCAAGAACAATACGCAAATCAAAATTCCCCAACAAAAGGGTATTCAAATTTCAGGCAAACCCAAATGAATTCAAGTAAAAACCAGAAAATTGACACGACCCATCAAGAACACAGAAGCTACAAACATGAACTGTTGATGCAATGTACAAGAAATGGCGAAAAGAAACAAGAAAAGCTGCAATTTTTAATGAGTTGCAGAGATCTAGGACATGGAATTCCGAGAAACGTACCTTTTTCAGTACTATTTTCCAAGCTATCTGAAATTTAAATCATAGGGAATTTGAAACAACGACTTGAAATAAAAGAATTTTTCTGTTGCTGTTGTTTCTTTTGCATTACTTTAAGGAGAGCCATAAAAAATCCGAGATTATAATGACCGCGAGGGGTGGAAGAAAGTAGAAGATAAGACACCATAACATGATTCCTTTTGGACCTTAAAATATTCAAATAAATAAGAATAAAGCAAATCTTAAGATTCTTTCAACTCTAAGCTAAGAAATTTATAAACTAACGTAAGATGTATGGTTATAGTTTCTTCAAAATTTAATACGTTACATGAACCACTGCTCTAAAGGGAAGGAGCTGGATTTCAACTTTGGTGGATTTAAAAAGGTCCGGAAATAAATTTATTGGATTCCAAACTTTGTTCCTAAGATTTGGGAGAATTTCCTCGCAAAAAAACAATGAACCAAATGAAGCAAAGTTTTATTTTATTATTTTTTTTAAACCTAAATTTTAATAAATGGGTATGAAAGGCTCTATAATGGTGTGTGAGTCTATATTAACCATC